GACACGGAACAGAAGGGGCGAGAAAGAGTATTATTGGAGACGGAGAAGCATTTGACGCATATGCATCAGGCGGAACAGGATAAAATTAAGTCAGAGAGAATCATCTCTGAGCTGAAGAATGAGAACCAAGTACTTAGAAGCGAGCTGATTCAAGAGAAAGAACAATTTGCGCGCTATGTTTCTCAGAGTAAGAAAGCACAATCTGACGAGCATGAGGAATGTGAGAAGCTCAGTAGATCATTAACTGAATCTGAGATGGACAAAGGAAAGCTGGCGGACGAGATAGAAACGTGTAAGGATGAATTGAACAAAATGCAGGAGAAGTACAACAAGCTTAAGGAGAAGTTTTTAGCTTTAAAGCAGAAGCGGAAAGAGGAAAAGGAAAAATTCGACGAGATTCTGCTTACACCGAGACTCGAAATGGGATTACAGACGAGTCTTCTAGAACCTGAAGATCTCAATCAAACAAGAGAACAGCTCTCGTCGTCAATGAGAGAGCAGGGTCGGCTCGAAGAAGAGCTGGAAGTTCTTCAGAGAGATCTCTATAAAAAGAAAACTGAAATTCAAGCTCTGAAAAGAGCCAATGAGGTGTTAAGAAGGCAAAATCAGGTTCTGTATCTTGAAACGGAGAGCCTAAGAAGATCTGGTCATACCGAAGGAATTGACGTTCCTGGAATCCAAAAAGAGAATGAACAATTGCTGCAAGACAAAGAAAATCTGGAGATAGAAAATCGATATTTAAAAGAGGCTTTAGTCGTGAGAGAAAAACAGGAGGAAGAAAGCAGAGAAAAAGAGAGTATGTCGGATAACTTTTCAGAGACTGAGTTACGAGATCTGAGGGAGAACCAAGCGCGAATTGAACAGGAAAACTCAAAGTTAAGTGAAGAGAACGAATTTCTGCTAAAACAGGGCAAGCGTTTGCAATCTCAAGTCGATCAACTTGAGGCCGAAGTTCAAAGGATGAAGTGTCAAACTCCTATGACTTCAACGCCTGCGAACGAGGGTGCGTCTCAGCCTCTCGTCAGCGAACTGATCCAGAGCGAGTCTGGAAACCTGTTTAACGTGGAGTCATCGCCTGCTACCTTCACGGGTCCTTCATTGAATACTTCCCTTGAAGCCCAGAGATTCGTAGAGGAAAATCAACGAATTAAGGAACAGATGCTCGTGTTACAAGGACGTTTAAGATTAAAAGAGAACGAACTTCAAGACACAAACAATTCACAAACTGGAGCAATGGACGATTTGATAAACGAGAGGCAAGTTCTTCTTGCTCAAATTGACTTAATGAAGGGAGCGCTTGAGAAATATGGAGAGAAAGGATTCACTGGCCAAAGGGTAAATATTCTAATAGGACTATTTATTCAGAAATAAAAACTTCAGATTTTAGTCTACAAGCTTAAGATACAAGTAAAAATAAGTAAAAATTGGATATTAACTTATTCTCTTTTTGCTCACTTACATACCTTAGCAAGAGATGATAATCTCTTGACCTTAGACGAGATTTTTTTTTAGAAAAGGTTGCTTAATTTACGAAACGAGTGACGCATCGTCTATCGCGCTCTTCCGCGTTATATATCAAAGCGTTTAAAATCCTTTCGCGTTCAAGGACCTATATTAAGTGTATACATTTTCTGTGTTTTTTATTTTTGGATTTTCCGGCGCCCTTTTCTACTCATTACGTCTCCAAGGTTAGTTAGGCCTGGTTCCTAAGCGTTGGGTAAGGGTGGGGCCCTATCGTGTCAAAGTAGCAAAGGGAAGTCACGTTTTTCGATTTGATCCGTGGGCTATGCCTTGATTAGAGGATAGGTAAAATGGTATCATTGGGGATAATCCTAACAACAGAAGTGTATTATGAGATTTTTAAATAAGGGTATCAATTGTTAGGATTCATTGTTTATCACAACGTAGTGTCCTGTGTGAGTTTGTGTGAATATCTATACAGATCTAATTGAAGAATGCTTGTCTATTAAAAAATATCTTGGTTGATCGCAGTAATACCGCAATCTGTAATGCTTCATTTACAGATCGTCGACTGGGATACGAACCAGAGAGAAGACGGTGCCAAGGAAAACGTTTTAACACCCTCGTCCTTTACACCAAGAACTATTCAGAATCCCTTATCAGGATTTCCCGTTTCTAATCTTCAAACCCTAGACTTCAATGAGGAAAATTACCTTGGATCGGCTTACTGGGAAGCTACAAAGTTTCTTGACAGATTACAACAAGTCAACTAATGACCGGCTTTTATCCTTCAAGACATCTTTCAGAGCTTTGTTGGGAGAGCACAAAATGCACATTGCACACGTCGCACGAATACCCTCAGCTTTACTAACTGATTTTTTCCCATGAATCACTGCTGGTTTGTTGCTGCTAATAAAAATTGTTTTAAAACAGAGATTTCAGTCACGACCCATATCGTGACTCTCCATTCCAGAAATCTTCCCTACTGTTACTCGCTGTTGAAAGAGAGTTCACTTTCTCAAATGCAAGAAACATTAAGTTTTTATTAATGAAACTATCGGTAATAATTTCCTCAGTTACATCACTAGTACGAAAATAAAGATTGGTAATCCTCTGTAATTTATTATCACTCTTTTTTTGTTACTGTTGCGGAATGTATTAGCCCTTCTGACAATTTTACGTGACAAATAACCTGTACTGTTGTATATCTAGACTTTCACTCAACAAAACGGACACCGTGACTGGTTGATTCTTAGTCACGTGCCCCTGATCAAATTCAAATGTATCCCGACTGGGATACAATTGCGTAGTTGTTGCCCGCGCGCACCATGTTTTTGCCATATGATTGTTTAAGGGAAAGTCTAAATATATAACAAAGAACTTAATGTATAGTCCCTCGTTCTCCCTCGAGTCCTGATGTTTCCCGAGACGAAGTCGAGGGAAACATCACGACTCTCGGCAAAACAAAATTTAACTGTTTCCCTCAGGACCATTCATCAAGTGTATACTATTACACGGTCCCATTACTTTGAGTTTACAGTTACCCTGAGGTTTGGTCAATTCACCTTTTACATGTTCATAGGGGAGCAAGGCTGGTGATCCGTCTGTGTATCACCTAACCACCTTAACTAGCTAACTAGCCCGACAGCGAAAAGGACTGGCGTATTTCTATGCTCCTTTGTCGCCGTTCTGTTGTAATATTATGTCTCTGGGATAAACTTTGGGCAACATATCAAAGAACGATTCAGTTGTAGACCAGAGTATGGCAACCAAAATCTTGCCTTTAACCCTTGGCTCGCCTGCAGCACTTAGTGCTACATTATTAGCGTCACGGCCTCAAAGGACATGTAGCGTCCCATTGGTTGATGTAGAGTTAAATGACGGTAGACGATGACCAGCGTTTAAAAAGAGCACCCCAATCAAACCCGTCTTCTTGCTCCTAAACAATGCTAACCGCGCATGGACTATTTTCTCCCTATCGCCAGTATGCATATTCTCCACACTGCCCTCTGTAGAGAGAAGTTGCTCAGCAATCGAGAGCATCAATAGTTAGCGATCATTTTCATCACTCTCATGATCGTAGGTTCGATTGAGAAATAATTAGGTAACCACGGTGGACCTGGTTACTTCATCATACACAGATCGGTAGACGTGAGAACTGACTTATTACCCAATGGCGTATCTAAGGGAGAAAAAAAAATCGTAGAAGGAAGAAAAGCTGGCAAAAAACCGGGCCCTCCTCCCTTGGCTCAAGATCTGGATCCGCCGCTGCTGTCTGCTTGATTGTTTGGTTAATGAAGTATGGTATAACTATCACTTATTGAATGAGTGAGAGTAAATTAATTGTCTGAATCGACGAATCAATGATAATAAGTGGATTTCAAACAAAACACCACGACTCATACCAAAATCAACAGAAAGATTGATTGCTTGCTTAATTGGTTGATAGATGAAGTAAGGTACAACGTTAACTGACTAATTGATGATTGAATTAATATATCATGAAAAGTTTGATTTTCTGAATTGATGAATTAACGATCGAGTGGATTTACCTGGTATGAAAAAAATTAATGATACATGGATTAACAGAGACTTTGATTGCTTGCTTCATCGTTTAATAGATGAAGTATAATACAACTATCACTCATTGGTTAATCAATAGTCAGTGAGAGTATCACGCAAAGTTTGATTGATAGATGGATTTACTGACTTAATAAATGAATGATTTAAGGTGATTCTACATGTCAATTCTATACACTGTAGAACGATGACGAAAAAAGATTGATAGCTTGCTTGCTTGATACATGAAGTATGGTACAACCATCACTGATTGGTTATTCAGTAGGGTCAGTGAACGTATCACGCAAATGTTGATTGATGGATGAATTGACTGACTTAACAAATGAATGATTTAAGGCGATTCTACATGTTATTTCTATACACTGTAGAATGATGGCAACAAAGATTGATAGCTTGCTTGCTTGATACATGAAGTATGGTATAACTATCGTCAATTATTTAATCAGATCAGTAGAGCCAGTTAAAGTATCATGCAAAGTTTGATTGATGGATGAATTGACTGACTTAATAAATAAATTATTTAAGGTGATTCTACATGTTATTTATATACACTGTAAAATGATGGCAACAAAGATTGATAGCTTGCTTGCTTGATAGATGAAGTATGGTACAACTGTCACTGATTTATTAATCAGTAGAGTCAGTGCAAGTTTCATGCAAAGTTTGATTGGTGGATGGATTGACTGACTTAATAAATTAACCATTTAAGTTGAATCAACATGTTGAATCCATACACTGCAGAATAATGGCAACAAACACTGATAGCTTGCTTGCTTTGTAGATTAAGTATGGTATAAATAAAACTGATTGATTAATTAATAGATTGGGTGAAAGAATGATTCACTGCATACAGTCTGATGAATTGGGTTGATACATAATCATCATGGGTAGATTTATCCACAAAAACCAAATGATTAAAATATAAATGCAGATTGAGGGCAAACAGACGAACAAATTGATTGCTTGTGCAGCTACATGTGAATTTAATGCATGGATGACTTCTAACATTCCATATATACAACAGTTACAGAAGGGAACAACACTTCATTTATTATAAATCACTGATTGTAGCTAATGACACAATTTGAAGAAATTTTTCCTAAGCAACTGTGTTGTCATTCTCACTTCATAAAAAGTATCACTTCTAGTAACAAGTTTATTTTTCTACAATTTACAATTACAGCTTACTAAAAAAAATTCCTCAATTATGCAAGTTTGCAGGCACAAGGCCAGGAAAACATTTGAAGAAAGACAGGATATGAGTATCTTAATTTTTCATTTCAGTGGAGCAGGTAACGGTAGCCACTGCACACTTTAAAAGAGAGAAAAATGAGGGGGACCTCTTTAAAGAAAGAGAGGAGAAAGATGCTACAATTTGTTTTGATTCAAAGGGAAAGGGGCACATACAAGCAAAGTTCAGTGTTGTGAGGAAACAAATATAAAACAACTTGTAATGTAAAGATGAAGTGAAGCAAACATTCCCCAAATATACACATCACTTTGCATTTTAAAAACAAGCTGGGAGTTATTTTTAAATTGTACCACTGACCCCAGGATCAAGGACATTTAATAACTACCTGTTTTTACCACAGGCAGGCCATGTAAAATATCACATTAAAGTGGACGATTAAAAGAGGAATTCTTTGTCTATCCTCTCTCCACATAGGATGAACATACCCAAAATGAACAATTACTTTAATTTGTAACAGCTAGAAAATAATGCATTACTAGTTAAAAAGGCAAAGATTGACTGGACCTGCTGAATTGTAGAACATGCTATAAATCCTGAGGAAGAAGTATTTTGTTATTTCACAAACATACATACAGACATACATACATACATAATAGAAGTATTTATTTAAATATATATGTGTGTATGTGTGTGTATACATGTATAAGTAAATTGTACATATACATGCAAGTTGTAAAATGGAGAGGTAAGTATCAATCCAAATTAGTCAAATTTTCTAGGGTAAGACTTTAGAAATCCACTCTCTTACATCTTTCATTTCCTGAAAAGAAAGCCAAAAAACTTTTTACTTCACAAAGAAGGAGCACCAAAATAAATTTATCTCAACAATAAATGCATCTTCAAGTAGAAATACAATGAGAAGCACAAAAAAAGAATAATTACAATAATAGCAACTAAAGGATTTTGTTCAATTTAATACCAAATTATCAGGGTCCAGTTGTATGAAGGGCAGATAAAGCTATCAAATGGATAAATCACTATCCGGCAGATAAGCAATAGCAAAACATGTAGCATTATCCACTGGATAGAGTTTTATTCAGTAGATAACACTATCCAACCTTCAAACAACCGGGGCCAGATCTAAAATCATAAGAGAATTCATAAGAGAGCATATAACTGGCCTTTTGGAAAGGTGATATTTGATCTAGGGAGAGGAAAGGTTAGGACATCATGTGACCATTTAGCAGCTGTGAAACCATTTCCAGTATGAATTACACCCACTTGATGAGCAAAAAAATTAAAGCAATAACTATCTCTTATTCATTTTTCCTCACCTGTGGACTTGAGCTGTGAGGTAATCCAGAGTATGATTTAAACTCATGTTTTGAACAAAGTTTATGTAAAACTTCATTTGTCATTTGTCCAAAAGCATAAGCTACAATTGGGTCAGCCGTTCCTGCAGGAGAGAAATAGAGATTATTCCATGGACAGTGCTCACAAAGGATTTTTACTCACAAGTTGTGACACACATAAAAAAAAAAACAACAACAACAACAATCAAGTGAGCAGAGCAAATGAGCGTGTTTTTTAATGCATTGCAACAAGTGAATTAAAAGTTTACACTCTTTTCATGGTATAATGATTTTGTTTCATACATACTAAGATTTATTCATACTGACCAACAAATTTCAAAGACTGGAGGCTATTTCAGTGCAAGAGCAAATTTTATTACAAAAACCACCAAATTCACAACATGGAAAGATATTTAGTCTCAGGTGACAACTATATATTTTTTAACAAGATAATCTGGAATTATATATTGTGTTGCTATCATAACTCAGCCACTGTAAAGAGTTTCACCACATCAGCCCTTTGTCAGAGGGAATGAAGGAATTGTGGGCTGTGTGTGTGTGTGTGTGTGTGTTTATATGCAGAAAATGGAGCTATACTATAGGTTGGAACAAGGTTACGAGTGAGACAAGAATAAATTAATTGAATGAAGATTGTTGTTGATACTGCTGGGGATTAAGAGTGTCAATTTGAAAGTTAAATTTTTTCTACGATTTGGCAGCTTTCCGCATGTGTCTGATCGGATGAACAATGTGCTTTCATAGTCCTTTGTTTTTCAGATTGTTTGGTTGTGTATTTCATAGAAATTTTTTCAAAGGCTTTTTTTATATGTAAATCACATTACATATGAAATAAATCACACTATCATATTATACCGTTAAATTGTTAGAATATAAATGTACTATCCTATTTTTACCCTTTAGAATATAAATAGGCGTAAAAGAAAAAACTTCAGCAGATAAATCTCTCTTTTTTTCAGTCCTAAATTAGCCTATCAATAGGTAAAGGTAGTAAATGAAGTTTCCAAAATTTGAGCAAAACTTCCTTGGTACATTAGTTACAAGCAGAAGCTACTAATTAAACCCTTTGACTCTCATGAGTGACCAAGACAGAATTTGTCTTTACAATATCAATGCAACATCAACCAGATAAGTGATGAGAATTAAGAAAAATATCAATTTGGGGATAATTTGTTGATCCAATAATAAATTCTCTGAACTAACATTATAAGAATTGTAAGGTGGACAATAAGGAGAATTACAAATTTGATCTGGGAGTTAAACGATTAAGACAAGAACCCACCAGTAATGACAACTTACCATGACACTGAAGTATTGGGATGTCTTTATTTTCTTTAAGAACCTACATTTAGACAAAATCAGTTTCTTCAGAAATTGACCATAACAAGGTACATGCTGTAAGTAAATTAACAGAAAGACACTCATGACATAATTTCAATTTTCAAATAACTGATAACAAATATATTGCAAAATATTTCAAACAGGAATTTAGATACATAAGATGTGCAACATAAAACTATGTTGCTTTTTAGTAGAGCTAAAAAGTAAATGTGGTCCAAATTTTTTGGTAATTTTGAAACAGAACTCCCCCAACTGATTGTTGGCCAATTGTCCATAAGACTTTGTCAGACAGGCTCTGAAAAGCACCTGACATGCTACCAACAGATCAATTCAACAATACACAAGATAATGTACTACAAACAGTAAGTGAGCTTATTAGTCATGTTCAACAACAGCCCATGGAAAAAACACATTTCATCATATGTTAGAAACAAAAGACTCTCAAGCATTGTCAAGTACAAAAAGGTATAAACGTACCACTTTGCTTACTTTCAGTAGTTGAAAAAAAATTCAATATAGGAAATGGTTGTCTGAAAACAGTTGGCTGACAGATGACCAACAGCTTTTTGAGGGAGCTCTTCAAATTAGTAACTTTTCTACCTAACAAACACAAGTATCCTGACAAACTAAATTGAACTAAAACTGAGGAACAAAGGTCACTCTACATTTTATTCATACTTAAGCATATATTTTCAATGAGATTTGCAAAGTTAGGACAATTTTCATATAATACATTTGTACACCTTGTGGGAAAAGCATTATTCACCTGTGTGGTTTATACTAATGATAGACATATTCTGATCAAGAAAATCAAAGGTATTGAGTGTTTAGCTACCATGGTCTAAAATTACTCTACATCACTCTACCTCTGGAAAGGTCTTATGAAGAGGCAGCCATGAGCTTAGGGCCAAGATACCAGCTAAAGGTTTCTCCATGGTAAGAGCTGTATATAGCGCAAGAGCACCACCCTGTGAAAAACCACCTGGAAGGCAAGACAACAAATTAAGAGTGGTCTACAAAATAACAGTAAATTAAGTGTGAATTGTTTCTTGATCTTCAATCCCTGATACCAATTTACTAAGAGAATAAGAAACGTAGTATAATTATAACACAGTCAAGACTCAAGTGACATATCCTATGATCAAAAGTAGCCAGCTTCATGTAATAACTTACAGTAATTTTCTTCTAACTCATAATGCAAAACCCTCAGGTTGTGTGAAATAGAGTACACAGAACACGTGTGCTTGTAAATATATGTGTAGATAATGTACGTAAATTACCTAAAACAATGCGATCTGATGGTATCCCACTTTTAATCTCCTCATCAATAATTGATTTGACTGGAATAAAGAAAAAAAAATTCCTCATTGATATAACATCATACATGTTGAGATCAAAATGTTGAGCCAACACAACCCTCACACAGTGTACAGCACTCCAACATAACTTGTTCATAGTGCAACAAATGTACAATTTCAAAAGGGTTTGTGGTAAAACTGGTTTCAAACTATGTCAGTTTTCATTTGTTTAAGTATTATGGTAATGTATCTAGAACAAAGGATCGAGGGAAAAAAAGCAAATCAAACATGTAAATAAATTTATCTAATTACCATCAACACATGCACTATGCATCTTTAGTTAATAGGACCACAATTTAAAGAAAAATTTTCATATAATTGTAGCCCCCTATGAGAAATGATTATGCACTCACTTCTTTCAGCAGCAGTTTTAATACCTTCTTCATCTTCACTTCCAGAGAAACTTAATGACCTAATATCAAACCTATAAGAGATTGAAGTATATAATCATGAAGTATATCAACCTGACAACACAGCCTACATAAAAGATTATCTAATTATCAATTGGAAGCATACATGTGTAGTTAAATATTCCCAAAATGATGGCCATAAATTGTTAGACAAAACATAAAAATAACACACAGCAATAAAACAAAAGAACTGTGGATTGATAATTAACTAGATGCATATTTGTGTTCACCCAGGCTTTCCGTTGGAAATAAATTTTGCTTTTTGTGCTAGCATTTGCCTAAGTTTTCTTTAATGCAATTATTGGTTTATCCTGTAACTGTTTTTTTATCCTGATATGCCACAGATGCAAGTTTCTCACATATATATACAGAGCTGAAAACAGTATTTGTTATGTAGTGTGAAGACCCTTGGGGCAGGGTGGGGGGAGGTAGTGCCATATATAAAATCAGCTACCATTTCAATACTTTTTACTAGACACTATTTTCAATTTTTTTTTTAGTATTGACTATATTAAATTTTGTTTTGCAGGTTAAGGGTTGTAGTGGGGTAAGTCTTTTGCCAAACAGGCTGTCTTCTTATTTTTTCTTTTTCTTGGTTGACAAAAGTTTCAGGCTGAGATAGCTTTTAATTATGAACAGCCCCAAGTGCTAGGGTGATGACACTTAACCAAAAGGAAACAAAAAGTCACACCAAAGGCTATTACCAGATGAACTATTAATTTTATGGGGTTGTTGGAGTGGTTCTCATGAATGTGTGAAATAAACTTTAGCATATTTTGTACTATTACCTCCCAATTTGTTTGTTTCCATTTGGAGTTACTGGGAAAGTATACTCTAATGTTTTTAGGGTACTGAAAAGCAGACGTGTCTCTTTCATTTTAAAGCAGGAGGGAGTACATATATTTTGATCTTTTTGTGGGTTTAAAGATACAACTGATGCAATATGAAGAAAATGATATCAAAAACCCTTTGCATTCACTATTATTTATCATTTCATTCTCACAAATTGACTTGCTTTGAAGTGAATCAGTTAATATTCCTTCACTCTCAAACAAATTATCCAGATTTACTTCAGTTCCACAAACATCTACAGTTCTTGGAAGATTAGCTGGTGATAGCTAGTCATGTTCTACACTTTATTTTCAACACATCTTTTTGCTGTTGTCAACAATGATTGGTAAGGATGAGTTGTAATTCCAGTAATTACATGGTTTCATAATAGCAAAGCCATTGACATGTCATGTACCTGACATGACATTCAAATATCTTGAAAACAAGGATAGCTACACAAGCAAAGGCAAGAGTCATCACTTTTCATCCTGCAATTTGGAACTAATGACCACAATTACACAGGAGACTTACCAGGAAGGCATTCGGAACCCTCCATTCAATGTCACAGGATTGACAGGTCTGGAAAATAACAAAACAGGACATTTGAGTGTGCTTCTTTTAGCAAGCACCTGAAGAACAAGTGATACACCTAGTGACAATGTGCTATTCAGGAATTTGGATATTCAACAGAGAGACTCTTGTACCCTTGTAATTTAATTTCATGCTGGCATCAATTTTTATTGCAATGGCCATATGAGAGCAGGGACACAGAAAATATACCTAAATCCACCAAAAGCAATGGAACATGAACTTTTGAACCCACAGAAACACTGCACACATTTCCTAGGGGAGTTTGTGAAAAGAATGAAAGCAGCCTGAAATGCATCTCTACTACAATATCAAAGATCCTATATAGATTCTTGAAAAGTGAAGCAATTGACCATGAAGACAAACAGCATGGACAAAACATGCAAAGCATGGTTTCAAGTGCATCATGATTTATTATGGCTTGAACTTACGCATTGGGGCAAATGTATTTCACATGAGGTGCTCTTATTTCCTCAAAACCAGCACTCCAGCCAAGTCTAACAGGAGGAAAAAAGTCTTAAAATAATTATCACTTGTTCTATCCATAACCACATGTACCCTAGTTATAATCATGCAACCAAAGAAACATTTTTAGTAAGCTTGGCTTCATTTAGCACTTCTGTCCAAAACTAAATGCTTGAAAGTCTGCCCAAGTTGCTAGAAATTTTTTTCTTCACTCCATATTCAACATAATTATGCTACTATTTACACATTAGCCTTGCTTTCATAAACTTAAATTAATGGCTTGATGCCTACTGAAAGTACAAGGAGCAAGTACATGTATTTCATAAAAGCTAGTTAATTGAAATGGATTCTCCATTACAGAGAAATAAAGGAGAAGTACAAAATGTACTACCCAGATTAAGGTTCATCACTCCAAACAAATAGAAGGTATATAAACACTGTACATTCATGAGGATGGGTGCATTTAACACTTTTAGAGACCTTCCTAAACTGATAACATTGGCCATTATAAGTGGCAAATATTTGTTTTATTTTTTATCTGACTCACAGAGTATCAACAAGTTAAAAGATCACAAAAGAGTGTTTAGCTTGAACTGATTTATAGTCTGGGCAGGAAAACAAGATGCTAAACACATAAAAGAATCCCCTCACCTGCGTAAAATCAATGCACTATAACACATGAAGCTTGTATACATTTCTTCAATAATCACATTTAACCATAAAATAAAAACAGTCTCAGAACATCAACATTTGTCTTACCCAGTGTCTCCAAGCCCATGAAGAAATATCAACTGAAAAGAAACCAAGGTTTAGTTTAAAATTTGTTATCAGATCTGAAAGGTCACAAAGAAAATTCAGCAGAATTCTTTTTGCCTTCAATTTTATAATTGAATGCTCTGAAGGGAAATAACAGAAAGAGTCTTTTGAACAAAGGAATAAAGATTTACTTGTATTAAAATTTGACCCTGGGTTGGTAGTGTAGCCAATGCATTTTTGAACATCTGGGTTAAGGAGAAATGTGACCCTTTAAGGCAAAACAGACACTAACGGAAAACCGTTCAAATGGCAAAAACGCATGGATGACGAGTGGTTAATGAGCAGTCCTTGAAGTGTTTGAACAGTTTGCCTAACTACATGTTGTTTGATTTCTATTTTGCTTTTGCATTATGTTCTGGTCTAAACATGAATTTTGGGTCAAAATGATGAAAAACTACTTGTAGGTTTGACTTGCATTTTGTTTTTAAAGGGATAAAGAAACATTGAAGGAAAGTGTATACATGTAGAAAACTCATCTGAAATAACTCTTGCCAACCACAAGTTCAGGTACTAGCATCCTTGAAAATAAATCATTTAATGTGGCAGCCATTTCCAATAATCAACTATCAATACCAAAGTACACTGTAATTTCATATTCATATTGTCACAAAAAATAGCCTATGGTTGGTTTTTATGTGTGAAGAAGCTTTGCAATAAGAGATGTTTGAAACATACTCTGTTGTCATTCAAATGAAGGCATAATCTACATTAATCTAGGATACATTGGATGGTTTATAGGACAGCTGTTTATTTTGCATAGCTGGGAAAATACATATTGTGTTTTAGGGATCTGAACCGATCTTGTTTATACTGACAATTTTTTCACACATCTTAGTTTGTCCTTAGGGCTCCAATACATGTATGTAGAGAGTGCTCGTATGAGAAAATTATATCAATTTTTCCTTGTTTGTTGAAAAACGAACCATTAAAGAAAAAAAAACTGGTAGAAACAAAAGAATGAATTATGGAACAGCTGGACAAGGCGGAAAAAACCCTTGCATAATCAGCCAGCACTTAACTTTGATTATCTCGATTAGTAAACAACATCTCAAACACATTCTGAGCCGTATGAACTTTGATTCGTCCCTCCTCACGAAACTTTATTTCGCTCATAATGCACCCAAACAACATCTTTACAAATCTCAATTCTTCCAATTTAGAGAGAAGCAAGTGTTCAAAATGCTGTAGAAATGAATCGTGTGTTTCAAGTCCTCAGCTGCGAAGGGCTTCGTTAAATTACAACGATAAGGAGATTTCACATTAAAACAAATTTGGATTTTGACTCCTCGAATTTCTTGACTATTATTTTTGCCTTTAAACGACAGTTTAGGTGAACTAGCAAAAACCTGAAACATTCCCTCGTACGTGCTCAGGAAGATTATAAATTAGCTTTTAAAATACGCCTTAATTTGGCTGGAAAAATAAATGAGATGGTAAAGAGCTTGCTATAGCTACTCACCGAAGCCGTATGTTTGGCGGTTGCTTGGACTATTATGGGTGCCACGAGCGACATCTCATTGGAACCAACACAGGATAAGATGAAGAAGCCGGACAAAAGAAGAAACAAGCGATAAGTGTTAAGGAAGAATGTAAACATTCAACGAAAACCGCAACATGTGCTGAAACTGCAAGAGGAGTGACTCAAGATTTATCACTGCGCAAAGTGTCCTCACATTTGATGACATTAACGCACAGTATCACAAACAAAACCGCAAACCTAATTACTGGCAGATTCAGAAACCAACATGGCGTCCTCGAATGCACGAAATAGCACAGAGAAAGAGCGAATAAGTCGGAAAAGAAAACGAAACAGTAGTATTCCAGGTTTTGCACCAACTTCATCGTCAACACCTGCGGTAAACTCTCAAGCTCCGAGATCAATAAACGTAGAACAATTCGCTGAAGCTCGCGCATTGGAAATCAAGAACATGGTAGCAGCTATCACAGAAGCTGACAAATCTAAAGGGAAGCGTGTGTTTCAAACCCTACCAAACCACATGAGGAGGAGAGCGATGAGCCACAACGTCAAAAGAGTGCCTGCTCGTCTCCGGCAACGTGCTTTGTATGAGGTAGGAACGAAAGGGCAATGTCGCCTTATATTTAGCATTGAGCTTTAGAAATGCTGGTGTTTGTGCACGTGGTGTTCAAAACAAGGAAGTCTGCAATGCTGCATGGGCTTTTTTTTTTGTTTTGTTTTGTTTTTTCATCAGGAATTACTCGACCATAAATCTCGATGAAAGGTTGTGTTTGAATTTTGTGACTGAAATATTGTGTGGTCGTGAATGCAGCCTCAAATGTAAGGCATAAGATTCAGCTTCTCTAGGATTCAGTGGAAATCTTTGCAGGCACGTTTCCATTTATTTTTTACCAATATCCATGAGTGTGTCCTGAGCAGGGGCTTCATGGGGTTAAACATTTAAAATTGAGGCTGTATATACCAGGGTTAGGGTTCCAGGAGTGGTCAACTGGTCATAGAGCTGTGTTAAAGGAAGGGGGATACCTCAGGGAATAATTACCAAATAAGGGAGGGGGTAGGAATGATTGAAAGGGTGGAGTGGGATAGTACAGGAAATATGAGCCCATGAGGAAAGAGCTAGGAATGAGAGGAAAAGGAAGTGAAAGGGTGTGTAGGAGATGGTAGTGAGAAACATAAGAGGGAAGACAGGGGGCTAAGGTGAGGAAGGCATGAGCGGAAGGTATGGGAATTAGTGGGTTTTACTCCTTCCTTCCTTCCTTTATGGGGAGGAGATACAGCAAAAAGGAGAAGGAAGGAGTGCAGAATATCCAAACAACCTATGGAGAAAGATGAAAAATTAGTTAAAAGACTTCTACAAATTACCTATTATTTCCATTGATTAACAAATGAATTATTTCATTCTTTTTTGTATTTTTGGAAATTAAATACCCACAGCAAATTGGGATCCTCAGGAGGACCAAATTACTAGTCTTTTAAATATGTGTATTTAGAAGAAACTGATAATCACCTTGATCCCTAGATGCATAACTCAAGCAGTAAACCTGAGGGGCAAAAGAAAAAGAGTAGGTATCATCGCCGTCGGCCCAAAAACCTGCTTGAAGAATACACTCGTCGGCAGCGTAAGCATGTCTGGCTTGAAACACACATCTGGCATGCAAAGCGCATGAAAATGATTGATACTTGGGGTTACAGGCTTGCTGATCATCCCAATGATAAAGGCTACAGAGCAAGTTATAGAGCCACTAAGAACAACTGCATCTTACAGGTAAACACATCTTTGGATGAATGAAGTCTTGACCCTTTTAACTCTATTTCAACCCTATGAGTATGTTTTAGAACAAAAGGTGATAACAAAGAAGTAAAATATAAACAATGGGGCTATTGTTTAAAATAAGACTGAAATGTCAGAACTAAAATTAGACCTAGTATAAAATGGAGTATTGATATTTTAGGATCTTGGAAGTTAAAGAGTCAAACATTAATTTTTTAGTCTCTATAAGCATGGTGGCATACATGTCAGAATTTACCACAGCTTCAGTACAGTTATCAGACTTGAAACAGTTTAATTTCCTTAGGGAGGATTAGCAGTTCATTGCAGGTTTTAAACTCTTGACTGGAATGTTTTTCCTTCACCACCTTAAAAATACAAACAAATTAAAAAAAAGACGTAACTGTGTCAGCTAAGTAAGCCAGTGCATGTTTTGTTTACAATAAATATATAAAGTGTACATTTCCTTCATGTGTTTGGTAGGATTTGTCTTATTATGGATGCATTGAAGTAGTTGGTGTCCAGCACCAGATTATCAAGGCAATGAATCACTTGACAAGTCAAGAAACAGGTTTGTATATTGAATACATTTAGAATGTTTCTGAGCAGGTATAGTAAAATAGATACAAAAAACCAGCAGAAAAATGAATAAGCTATTTGCCAGTCATGGTTGGTCTACAGATCTTAGGAGTGTAATGGTTGGTAGGTGTCTATCTCAACAGGAGTTGAGTGAAATTGTATGGTGTCTTGTGAGGTATAAACCAGTGTATTGATTTAATTGTTTTTCTCCATGAAACAACTGACAATAATTATGGTATCAATGAAAAACAAGAAAAAAATTGTTCTTAATTGTAAATTCAATCTTCCTTTCTCCAGGTCTGACCTTTGCTGCCAAATATTACTTGACAGGCAAGCGTGAAGGTCATCTGATGTTGTACAAACTGGACCAGTTCCCTCAAGGAGCAATTTGTCCTGTATCTTTTCTTTGGAGGCAAATGAAAACAACAGACACCACAACAATCACTGAGAATATGCAACACAGAGAAAATGATGAACTGATCAAGGAAATTGTTGATAGTGGTAATGTAACAAACAACCACAGCATGGAGGCAAGTGATGAAATGCCTATGAAAGTAGATACGAGTCAGTTGTGGGTCTGGTGTCATCCTGCGAGTTTCAGCTCAGTTTTTGAGGCAATAAGTGAAGCTTGTAAGTCTGTTGGAAGAACTTCAGTTGAAAAAGGAAGATGTTTTCCAGATAAAGATGACAATCCTGATCAAGAAACTCAAAGCTGTAATTTTGTGAATGGTTTTGAGCACCCAAAGTTAAGGGTTATTTCTCGTCGATATGATTTACTACGGTTACGTCTCACAGGACCAGAATCACATGCTCTGCTGACAAACACTCTAAAGTTATCTTCTGGAACATCTCAAAAACATTGTGAAAGTAAAAGCAACAAGAATTCACAAAATAATGCAACATTTATCAAAGACAAGGGTGATCATAGGAGGACTTCAAAATGGTGGGAGCAGATACTAAATAACCCAAGTGATTCAACAGCTCAAAGTTTATTATGGGAGAAATTAAGGAAGGTGTCTTCACCCTCAGTCCTTCCTTCTGGGTGTGTCATTGGTTTGACTGTTCATGATCCACGCCTTTACCTTCCTGGAAAGAAAAAAAACATCATGCAGGCTACTGAGGATAATGATTCTGGTAATGTCTTACTATTACATGGTTTACACTAAAGCATAGGAGTGTGGAATCCAAAGGTCTGAGGTTTGATTCCTTATAAGGACTCAGAATTTTTTCTTTGTCCCACGTGAAAAACATCCTTCTTTAACCCTTTAACTCCTAGATCAAATTTAAAATTCTCCTTACTTAAAACCATACAATTCTTACAATGTTCATTCAGAGAATTTAGTATTGGATCAACTAATTATCCCCAAATTGATATTTTTCTTTATTCTCATCACTTGTGCAATATCATCTGGTTGATATTGTAAGGAGAAATTCTGTCCTGGTCACTCATGGGAGTTAAAGGGTTAAAGGATTTAGGACCTGTGAGAGGTTTTTAATTAGTTCAAAATGTTACATTTGTTTTAAGTATATTAATGCATAGAAGTGAATAGTATGCAAAGAAAATCATTGTAAATTTTTAACTAAGATTAAAATAATTTATAGCTTAATATTCTAATTCAGGAACCTATATGCACAGATCCCTTAAAATTCTCTTCAATATGTTGCATATTTTCCACAGAGTTTTTAACTGGCATTCTTCATTCACAGAAGATTCAGACTATTGTGCTGAAATAGCATCTGCACCTAGTGAGATGATGAACAAAGTAGATAAAAGTACGAGCAAGCAGCCATCTTTTGAAGATCTCATGGCCAACTGGCCAACTGATGTTGCAGGCTCGCACATCTGGGAGGAGGCAGTTTGTCGTGAAGTGAAAGAAACAAAATTGTCTGAGCAGGATTTGAACCGAAAGAGATCTGCGTTCCTAGTTCCAGGCTCCCAGCTGGACTTGAAACCAGATGAGATTTCCCACATTCCTTTGCTTCTCATACAGCAACCAGGAAGTCCAGGTTAGGCTCTCTTTAATACATACATGTAAGTTGCCTAAAAGTGACTAGTGTCTAATTTCTCCCTAAAATCTCACTCCTGAATCAAATATGAAGGTCAGGAGAATAAAAGAAATAATCACTAAGAAAATAAACTCTTGATTCTTAAACAAATTATCTTTGTCAGTACCGTAGGAAATGTTTAGAGAACATTATCAAAGGAGAAAATGCATCCTGATGGTAGGATGGAAAGGGTGAAAGCATTTAGTTAACAGGATTTGGCCAATATCAGGGACAAGGAAGTAGTTGTTGATGTGATCACAAAAATAAAATAAAATTAGTAGAACTCTAAGAGTCAAGAGTGTCGCTAAGAATAGAAGGAAAGTTTGGGTAGTCCACTGGTGCTGGTGACTTCCTCTGTCAAGAAAAAAGAGATATGCATGATTTATATTATCACAATAAGAGCAACACTCCAAAACCCCAAACAGGATACGGATCGGCTTTGTTGGAATAGGATAGAAACGACTGCATTTGAATAAATCACTAAAACGTCCAGCTCAATTCGAACTGAGTGTTTTTTAATGTTCCATTTTAATTATTTGTGTCAACGCTGTGATTTTTACCTTCAACTTAGAACGTTAAGGTTGAAATATAGGTATAAGAACAACACGAGTACTCTAAGCTAAAATTTTCGTATTCTAATGCCTTAAATCTTTACGCAATGTCCCATCCATCTTTCAGGTGACTGTAGAGATGGTGCTGGATACGGGAGTGGCTGGGACATTATCCTTCCCTGTGGATGGGCTATGGCATTCTGGATGGCATTTGTCTACAGGGGTGCGAGAACTGGGGGCCTCCGGGAGAGTCAAACGTTAGCCCTTGAGCAAGGAGTGCCGTTCTTTCCAAATGATTTCCCTGACACTCCCTCAGGACAAGCGTACAATGAAAACCTGAAAGCGGACGGCGAGGCCCAGTACGGCCGATACCCGCCAGCGAAAAGACCTAATTACGACAAATTAGGTATCAAGTCGCCCTTTTGTCCACCTTGGAAAGAACTTGTCGAGGACTGGAGTTTGTCTGAGCCTGATTCTGGTGGTAAAGCAGTTGAATCCACAAAGACCGTTGATAGAAATATCGAAAGTAACACCATAAAAGTCGAGTCGTCTTCAAACAACGTCTCTTTTTGCAAGCCCTTTTACGTGTTGCGATCTCGCTCTAAACTGGCTGCTTTGCGGAACTTTGTTTTGCGCGGCAAAACAAAACAGACCAAAGGTAAAGGCCTCAAGGATTTTGTCACAACAACTAAAGCGCCTTTGCCGATGAATAATGATTTGTCTGCCATCGTGAAAGAAGATGCCAATTCTCTGGTATGCGTGCTTGTGCGGATGGTCGGTCGAAACGTTCCCACACCCAACTCCACCTTAGCGATTCCTTTTTCTGAGGATATTACAGGATTCACGAAATGTAAAGACACGTCCAGCCCCGTGGAACCTCTGCACAAAGGTGTGCTGGCTCGCACGTCTGGGAAGTCTTTGAGGAACTTATGCAAGAGAGAAATCGTGGGATTTGTTTCATCCGGACATTTCTCCCTCGCCCGTGGATGTGGGTTTGGGGTGGGATTTTGTGCTCTACCGGGTCTTGTAAAATTGATATCTTCTACAAGTGACAGAGGAGAAGTCATGGTGTTGGTGAGGAGTCCGACCACTCAACAATATAGATGTGCTCATTTAACGATTTTTTAGTCTAAATTCATTCGGTGTTTACGCTGGACACAATTGTATTTAATATACAACAAACTGAACCACTCAAAACCAACCTTTAGCTGAGTGCCATAGTGATGTTTTTAACGGCAGTCTTTACAAGCCCATCTATTTGATGGTACGTCGGAACAAGTTTTGTGTTTTGTCTTTAGTCTTTAATTCCGTTTCAGTTAGATTAAGCTCTCATAGCTTTTGTTTATATCAATGTCTTAAGCTTCGGTTAGAGTCACAATGGAAGAATTGAAGACCTCTAGGTTCATGAAACATCAATAAATGTTTGTCATAAATGAGTGCTGAACACTAGTTTGAAAAAATGAAATGCGACTGCTCTTCGTTTTCTTACCCTCCACGGTGGATTTCAGAAGAAAATGAGAATGTTTATAAATCACAAGCACAAGGGAATCGACTTTATGAATATTTTGTTGTAATCGGAGAGAGTTAATTCTCAACCTCCCAATTCTTTACTAATTAGGGCGTAGGGTGGTTGAGTTACAGACTTCCCAGTCCCCATGACTTATTATTTCTATTAACATTACCTTAGAAAAGCTTTTTTATTTCTTTTAAAAAATTGATATATATTTAACTCTCCAAAGATAGACCCCAAACGGGAAGATATCGCTATACATATACAAATGAAGAACATTATATTTCAATGCAATTTTGTTTGAGCACGATGAGTCAAGAGCCAGCCCTAAAGTTTTGTATGCGAAGTGGCCTTTCGTTGTGAAATTGATACGCTATATCAAAAGTGGTGCGCATGCTCAAGAGAAGATTAGACGTAGAGACTAACTGCTCATATGGACTTCATTCCTCAAAAAAGAACTTTACAGGGGTTCTCTCGGGATTAAGGCCCATAGGGGAAGCTCGATTTCTTAGTACGATTCTCTCTTTTAATGATAATACGCCAAAGCCGTGAGAATAATGGGTATGACTAGCTACTGGAAATATAACTCGATTTGTTTGTCGATCGCTTGATATGTCTTTCATCTCTTGCAGTAAGGAAACCCGCTATAACCGCTTCTACATTTGTCGCATGCTCGACCAATCACGTTAGGTCGACACACACACTGTCCGCCGAATGGCTGACAGCTCGTTTTTGTAGCTCCCAGGCTATCGCAGTTGCATGATAATGCACCGTTGTTGAATCGAGTTGTGAGGATAAATGCAGAGCGAAGGCAGAATTGTGAGGTAGATTCTTTCAAGAAAAAGCTGCGTTGTCCACAGTCCTGTATAAAATCTTGCGTGATATCGATGGGTTTTATATCCAGAAGGGATGGTGAGAAGGACGAGATTGGAACCAATAACACGTAATCCTGAACGAAAAAAAAGTAAAAATCAGCCTGTTCTTAAGAAGTCGTTCATAATAGTAAGTCCGCTATACATAAGGCTTAAAGTTGTAAGCACTCTGCTTCAATTGCATGAACTAAAAATTGAAAGAGTCGCTTACGAGTTTTTCTAAGGGTCATTCTCCTTATTCATAAAGGGACGGGCACCTGACTCTCCCTATCACTTACTTCACCCGGACTTAATCAAAACTAGTATTATGCGGACAAAAGAAAAACAAGCAAACTGCTATGAGCAGTTTGCTTGTTTTCACTTTGAATTCCCATTGGCTCGTTTAGATGTTTTCCTCCGCTCTGATTGGCTGTTTTAATAACTTTGGTCTTGATTTTGCAACACTCAATCAAAATGCACTCTAAGTAGCAACTAGTGAGTGGCAACTGTTCAGAGTTACATAAATTCGCTCAAAAACAATAACACTACAGGCTGTGATTTTGTCGGACAAGAAAGAAGACGAGTCACAAGTGACTACTTACAATCCATACACCTTTGTCCTCAGGAATAGCTATACTGACAAGTATGTCATTCTGTCGCCCAATGTAGATAGATTCACGCATACCCTCCCTGTACTGTGAGGTACCTATGGCTCTGCAGCCCGATACGTGAGGGCAGTAGCTGAACGTCAGCAGCGTGGACGCAGCGTTCTGTCCACTGACGACAACTTTTCCCAGGAAGGAGAGGAAGTTCGGCTGGTAGAAATGCACAATGACGTAATAGCGACCAGTTCGCGCTCTTCCATTGATGTGAAGAGTTTTCTAAAAGCAGAAATGTGTTCATGACGTTCAAAACAGATTCATCATTTCACTGACATGACCACTTCTTTACCAAAATGTCGACAGGATCTGATCAGATCTGAACCCTCAATACCTGTGTAGCCTGCATAAATGGCAGAATTATTACCTGTCGCGTAAGATAAAGAGTGCCGCTTTGAAATTTTAAAGGAATAATAGTTTAGTTAGCGACAGAGCCGCCACAGCGAGGGCCTCTCATCCTTACTTTCTCTGAGTTTACTCTTAATGTCTTTGAAGACACGCTTCGATTCGGATTAGTAGCCAACTTGCCCTTCAGGAAAGAATCACCTCACGGCTGCGTAAAAAAAACTTATGAATCTGGATGTGCTTCGATCTGAAAACCTTACATCATTCATTACATTTGCTTCTTTTTCAAAATTTGTTAAGAAAGAAACAGCTCTGAATCCTTTCACTTTAACATTTGGATACTACCTTATTCCACAGTAAAGATATTATGTCGCAGTCCAGTGTAAAACCTCTTCATTATCTCTCTATTGAAAGCATTACCTCTCCCACTTTCAGGTGCTTCAGTCTAGCCCTCCTGTCCATGATGTAGTAAGGGGCTTTATCGCCACCGTTCAACCTGTCTTCAGCCTCTACCTTAACGGCATCTTTCGGAGTAAAATACGTTGACTGTACACACGAGAAACCGTTACTGATGCACTGTGTTGCTGGTAACAAGAGCTTCTGGCTCCATTTGGCGAGAGGAACAGCAGTAATGAAGTCCTAAAGGAAACAGTTAGTCAATTATCTATATCTACGTCTCAACGAATTTTACTCTTGGCCCAGTCATTCGTTGTTCCTGAACCTAGCAGGTGGTTAGTTCGGACTCTAACAAGTGATTGTAATAAAGGAAAATATTAATTATGGGATTTGTTGATCTAATGCCAATCGCTCTGAACTGACATCATTATAATTGTATGGCATACAGTAAGGACCACGTCTCATGACTAATGAGATGTGGGGTGTAAAAGTGTTAACAAGGGAACACTCAAGTGATGAGACGCCCACATTCCTTAACTATTGCAAAAAGTCAAACCATTTACTGTACAATGAAAAAATTTGTAAGATCTGAATCATGTTTCAACGGACGGAAATTCGAGAGTGACAGGACTTGTCCTAATATTCATCACTTCCACTACTATGCCTAGCGGACTCACGTATAACGGACTGTTCGTTTAGTAAACACAGCGGAACTCCACTTTGTTTGAGAGCCACAGATGGTCTCAGCAAACTCACCAAAGCGATTGTTAACGAGGTTGTCATACTGACGGTGGTTTCTTCCTTTTGATTTGCTGTGAATACAGCAACACCATGGTTCTTGTCGATGGCTACTTGTCGACAGCCAAAACGATATCTGCACATAAATAAAAAAAAAACAGAAAGAAAAAACGCCCCATTTGATGTTGCACATTCTCTAACATGATCACCTCGCTCGATTTCGCTATGGCTTAGAAATACCTCAAGTTCCGATACAGAACGCTTCTCGGGTCTTGCTTGAATAGGTTATTCCTAAGAATTGGTTTCGTATCACGAAAATATCCCCGAGTTGATAAATTTCGTACTTTCCCTTCCTTGTTTGCCTGATGGGGTACTTAACTTGTAAGGAAAATCTATACTTTGACCGATCTAACAGTCAAAGAGTCTAACTTCCAAATTGGCGCAAATGGTTCGCAGGAGGCAAGTTTCACACTCAACAATAATCAGGTCATAGAGGGCTAAGAACCTTGCTGCTTTTGAATGGAACTTGAAGTAAGATAGTTGCTCGCTGGGAAAACAATGAAAAAGTGGAGAAAAGAAAGAAATCGAGAATTACATTATTGCATCTTACCTGCAGGAGAGAATGCTCATTTGCGCTCTTAAGATTTCAGAGCCAGTTTTAACAACCAGAGCTGAGACTCCTTCTTTATCAGAATCGTGGAAATAGCTGGCCAACAGGACAAACTGGCCTTGCACTTTAGACGGTAAACTGAAGGACATTTCATTCTGACGATGACAGAAAAGTCATATTTACAAATAAATCTATTGGAAAGACTCTTTCCTGTCACAGAGCCCAGAAAACCTGAGTCTGTATGCCTGATATTTGAAACACTCAAACATCTTGGAACCATGACGGTTATGAACTCACCCTAGAGCCAGTCAGAATAAGCCCATGGAAGGGAATATCCGTTACTCGTCGGTTTCTTCGTACGCCACCAACAACCGAACTGTCCTCTGCTTGGATAGTCACAAACCCGTCTTGTTTGAGGCTGGGGAAGGCTAAGTGAGAGCAATGGCTATCGTCCCCTCTAAGTTTACAAGGACTAAAGACGTTAACTTTGAGGTTCTTCGGTTTGTAATATTCCTCTGGTAGTAGCACCATGTAGTCCTATGAAGAAATACAGAGGTATAACGTTTGTGGACCTTGACTGACTACTTTCATTTGTGTAGAAATTTTCAGAAATTTGTCTAGTGCCTCAGCGTATTCGAGAGAGGAAGAGGTGCCAACTCCTTAATATTGTTGGTGTGCCGGATGAATAAATCTTGGCTCTAAGGCACTGTTCTCTATTCTTGAGTACAGTGCCTCTCTCCTGGAAGAGCTATACTTGGATTCCAGCTCGGAAACGAGATAAGGCAGCCAACTGTTAAGTCACCTAAAGCAAGTGGCAGTGTTAAAAGTGATATATTTTTATACAATCAAATTTTGCACCACATTGGCAGGCAATATTAAAATCAACTTTATTCTACACTGGCGAAGGGCTTACGCTCTGCCGCCCAGCGTAGAGACTGAACTAGGCATCTTTGCAGAGAGTGGAGATGCAACTTAATTAGAATGAAGAACCATTTCGTGGCTAAAGGTTAAGTTTCGTCCACCTACCACGAAAAGATCAGTAGCGGAGGCCGACATCGTAAATTTCCATTTTCCCTGACTCAGCATAATTTGCTGTGGGTCTCCCCAAGTGTCTCTGACCACAAGGAAGTCAGCTGAGCGGTAGAACCAATTGGATGTTGCTCGGAATCGGACATCCAGCGTCTGCTCTGTCGCAGAGCCTGATGGAAATAGAGCTGCAATGAGACGGAATTTCTTATTTATGAACACATGAAGTGTCCCGTTTCTATTGATACCCTTCTTTGACTACTGACTTTCGATCGCTGGTGAAGGACTTATGGAGTTGCAGGGGGGGGCGTGTTATGCAGGAAAAGAAGACCGACAAAAGTAACTAAGTTGTTCCTCTCAGGGTATGTTGTGTTTTACGAGCGAGGGATATATAACTAGATTTCAAATGGCCGTGGCTTAAGAGAAAGCTTTGGAGGAAAAGGGTAGGATGAAAAAAAATACCTGAGTGAACGAGCTACGCTCTTGAATTAGTTATTTAGTTCGTTAAATAGTTCGGCCGAATTCTCATTTGCGCCATTGCTGTTTAAATTTTCTTCCACTTCCATCCTCTGTAACCTTTGCACAGGAGTTAAAAGAAATAGACAATGGCAGGTCACATTTATTCTTTTGGGAAAATTGAAATTAAATACTTTTTTCAAATCAGGGCTCATGAGGGTTTCGTGCATCGGCTAATAAGACGGTCTGCGTTTGGTAATTTTCTGACCCAGCCTTAGAAATAAACAATTAATAGTTACCTGAGTTCACTGTCGGAGTAAATCTCACTAAGGCCGTCACGGTGGCGTATCGGGCCAATAAGTAATAGAATACCAGTTGGTATTTACTTGTTCGAGGAACATCAATCATCATATATATAGATGTCTATAGGAGTGATAAACGTGTTGATGTTATTAATAACATGAAGATATATCCTATTAGCTGTACAAATCGAAAGGCAACGGAGATGAGGTAATGCCTCGGCCTCATTTAGCATTATAACAGCCCAAAAACGAAAGATAATCGGAAACATTTTCAATCCCAGCTCACAAAAACAAAATTACGTTGTTACCTGAGACTGCGAGAAAACTGCGTAACCTCGCCATGAAAATCCCGGAAATTCACTCTCGTCGTATCTGGAGTAAGCTGATCTGCCATTGTCAGTGGAGACCGCATCTTCTAACTCGACTTTATATTGATGAAGTGTGGGGTAGTAATAGTCATCAGACTTAACCCTATGAAGAAAAAGTAATGAGACGAGACTAGTTTGGAAATACGTTTACGTCGTTATATTATGCTCTGTGATTGGTTAGATACAGCACTCGCTCCAAATTCTTATCCAATCAGATGCCAAACAAAAACCAATCGCGACTTGGTCGCTTTTCACGCGCTCTACGTAAGTTGCGGATGTTTGATATGAGTTCTCACTTGCTCTCCATAACATTTAACGTTGATCTGATTGTGATTACTTTGGTTTTCGTTTTAAGGCACTTAGTTAAAAAGTACGCCTATAAATCAGCATGCGTAAGGACAAGTTTGTGTTCAGCTTAACCAACTAACCCACCTGTCACACTGGTTTCCACCGATACCCGGCAAGCATGGGCACTGTCCTGTGATTTCGTTACAAGATGTGCTAAGAGAGCCACCAGCATTACATGAGCAACCTGTAAAATCGTCAAAACAAATAGAGCGTGACACAATGATTCTTTAACTTAGGCGGGCAAAAAATGGTGGCAGTCAGGGACACAGCGCGGTATTCTTTACTCCACCTTCTCCGCTTATTGTAGAATAAAACTAATGCATGAGCCGTCAATACGTCATTCAAGACTAAAATGAGTACAAAACTGGAGCCTTACGCCGTAGTCGGCAGGATTCGAACCTGCGCGGGGAGACCCCAATGGATTTCTAGTCCATCGCCTTAACCACTCGGCCACGACTACGCTACAGAAAAGTTTTTGTGAAGGTCACTAGTTTTTCTATGACGAACTTGGAGAAAAATGTTTCGTACTTGATAGTGTTATATATCTTCATAGTCTTGGGTATACACTTCAACTGAGTATTTATAAAAACCCTTGCTCAGAAAAATAACACCACGCTGCCGTTAAATGCTCAAGGAGATAAGTGTCAAGCTTGTTACAGTACTTAATAATTCCTTTGTTTAGCTTTTTGAACCTCAATTCATTAATAAATATAACCTAAATTTAACAGGAGAGCCTTCATTAAGCGAGAGATCTTTTTTTTTTTAAATTTTGAGATACATTTACACGAAAATATGGAGAAAACCAGAGTATATATGAAGCTACCAAACCAGCACTGTGGCGCAGTGGGTGAACCTATAACTCAGAGGTCCACGTATCAAACCTTTTGTTGCACGCTTTTATCTCTTTGATTCACTAAAATTTCTTAAAACAGCTTTAGTCCGTTTTTTTTTCTCTTTTAAGAGCAAGAACTAGAAAACGAAATTATTCAAGTATGAAGTGAAAGTCTAACACTGAAAATTATAAGCAACGTATAACCCAGAGGTCCAAACATAAAAAAATTCTCTCCTAAAGTGACACTTTGGTTTGCTTGCTATTCATCTTTATCGATAACGATGTTGAAACACAACACCTCAGTACACTGCCGGAGAAAATGCAGTTCTCATTACCTCAGAAGTTCACGTTTATTTCCTTTTTGCTTCCTTGTTTCGTAGCAGAGACGACAAAACGAAATCTTCTCGACAGAAGCGCAGGTGCGTGGCTCAAAAG